CCCCCCGCCCCCTTCCGCCATGTCACGCGGGCAAACTGGATGATTCTTTTCACCCTCAATATCTCCAGAAATAATTGGAATAGGGATAAAATTCATAAGAGAAATCATGTTTAGTTTGACAAGATGAACATTTTTCATTCAAACGATTTTTTCCTACCTTAGCTAGTTTCCGAGAAAACTCGATTTCAACAATTGAATTGTTAATTACCTTTTTTCTGCATCGGTTGGCGACATAACGACCTTCAAATTTGGATTCTACATACCAAGAAACATGAAAAAAAATACCGAGCGAGCCGGTAACCCTGAAAATGGATACTAAATGGTACCTATCATATGGATTATGACTCAACATGGGTACCGAAATAAATATTACATTCACTCAGCCTTCGTTCCGTAGAGAAATCCCACATGGTACCGAAAAACATTCTCTGAATTGTCATCAACGTATTCAAAAGACCAATCAAATTCTGTGTGTTAATAATTATTTAATTACTTCAGAAGTGAGTAATTTCAAAATGAAATACCGAAAAACTTTATTTGTAGAAAATTTCCTTCTCTGCAATCAGTCTTTTGGCATTTCCCCCTAACAGCATTCCTAATTGGTTTCCCACATCTCAGTTATCAAAATCAAAACGACAGTCATCCATACTAGGAAAAATATAAGACTTTTTTATAGAATTTAAAAGGCTTCGTCGCAAAGATAATCGCCAAATTACCAAAACCGGTTAGTGTTCAAACATAATAAATAGATTTCTCACACCACATAAAAAGAAAAAAAATTATTCCGATAATATAAAATCTAGAAGATAGCATCGCAAAATCTTCTTTGAATCGAAATTTCTTCCCCATAAAAGGGAAAGTTCGATCGCTATAAATCTTTTATGTTTTCATGTAAACTCCCTCTTTTATATCATCCTCCCGATAATCGTGAAAAAAAATGTGAATAATCCGTCCACTTCGAAATGGAAGCTAAAAAGACGAAAACCCCTGCATTCCATCCTTTCTCCCGCCCACTCACACACGCCATTGACAAACCAAATTTTCGTGAAAACATAATACCTATATTTCGTCATTAGGCAAAAAAAAACTTTTCTGTTGAATATGAGTTTGCAGCCCGAATCGAAGATTGTAATGCTACTGAATTTCAATTTTCTATCTCAATTTTTTTGAGAGATATATACATCGATTTTATCATAAAAATTAACAATACATATTACTATCAGATTTTCCCTACTCACATAGAGATAATGTGAATTGCGATTTATGTTATCATGAAGAATATTTTGAAAAAAAAAAACAAATTTAGTCACATAGTTTTCAAGACGTTGAGAGAAAAAAGATTTATGAGCTCATAGCTATTTGTTATGAAAACTATTTGTTTCTAGAAACCCGTGTATTCCGAAAACTCGCTGTCGCCCGAAAATTTGAACTCAAATTTGTTTCCAGAAGTACACCCCGACAATACCAACTATGTATGATCAAATTTCAGATTGTTTACCATCACTTCACTCCTTTTTTTGTCGAGAATTATAAACAATTTCTTAAAAAATAGTCAGTTTGGTTGGTTAGAAAGCTTTCATCCGGGAATTGAAAAAACGAAAAATCTGATAAACAAATTAACAAAATTATTTACGCCCCACCCCGAGAAAAAAAGAGACCATTCACACAACAATACACACAATTACAATACACGTTAGTTTCCATGAGTTGGTAGCCCTGCTCCGTCTGCGGAAGCCGTCCGAACTCTGTTCACAGCCCCCCAGACCGTCATAGAACGAGACTATACAATTCCTCCATCCCTCTTTCTCTCATTTGTAAACCATCGTTCTCGGCATCTTCACTTGACCAATGCCCCTGCCCCTGTTCGTAGTGCACAATAAAGAGTAGCAGGAGAGGGGTCAAATCCGTCGGCAATCTCATTCCCAACGAGACGATAATCTCGGTTCACGACGAATTCACACGAAAGACAACTCGTCTAGTTTTCTGTTCTGCTTCCTTCGTAGTCCCAGTCGTTCTGTTTCTGTTTCTCTTGAGTTTTGTCGGCCGCGTTGGCAGAAACATCGCAACGTGCGACTCCCCATCACATCAGGAACTCGAATTTGTCCATTAAACTCCTAACAATCCTCTAGATTCCTTGATCTTACCTCGTCGTCTGTATTACCCTAAAAAAAAAATATAAAAATAAACGTAAAAAACTCAAAATTGTCTACAGTCACGTGTAACCGCGGTTAAAAACATGAAAAACGTCAAAAGTGTCATGAATTCTTGTATTCAGTAACTCAGCGACCTGTGTGTGAAACAGTGGAAACAGCGGAGAAGTAGGGGAGTATCCCCCGAGTGAGGAAAGAATCACAGTCGGGGATTATCTTGAAACAGTGTGAAATAAAACGAAGAACTCAAAATTCTGGGTGATTGTGGAATTTTTAATCGTGCTTCATCATTCCAACGAATTGAGCAGTGATGAATATGATTATTATAGCCTCAACAAATTGATGAACACTCCATTTTGTTGAATCCTGTTGGGATAATAAATGACGAGTGATGATTATATTATGAATAAGTCAGTGATCACAAGACTATGAGGAAGTTTTAGGGAAATCCTTTTCGTTAGACGTAGCCAATGGGGAGTTTAGTGTGACATATCAATCCCTTATTTATTTTTGGCTTTGTGACAAGTGGAAACGTACGGAAATTAGTGGTGAGTTCAATGTTTAATTATTATTTTTTTTACTGATTAGTTCTTTGAGGTAAAGCGTAGTAAGTGAAGATTATTTTTGGTTACGATTAGGTTGAATCTATCCCAGTAATGATTGGAGAGTCAGGGGCGAATATGAGGAGGCCTTTTTGTAGAATGGAAAATTTCCAACAAAATAAGTGTCTCTTGATATTCTTCTGTACACTCACTTGCTATCGGAATAATCGCTTTTGTGTCAAGATTTGAACAATTGAGTTCTGTTTTGTCATGTTCTGCTGTTTTATTTTTTATCGGGAGATATCTCGGAATCTAACTGTATAGTAAGATTTTTGTAGTTCTCAATTTTCTTTCTAAAAAATGCTTTTGTAAAAATTTCTCATTTTTCCCAATGAGTTTCGAGATGTCTTTCAAAAAAAAAAAAAAATCCTGAATTGATGACAGAAGCTGAAATCTTCCATCCATTTGCTCTTTTGTGCCTGTCATTCAGATTGTTTTATTTATTCGTTCAATTGATTCTTCAAATAATCATTAATAACCTAATGTTGCTCCCACATTGATTTTACATATGGTGTAGAGGGGCTGCATGGGGCGGGTCGTGGCTTCATGATTGTCAACACGAAATATTCTTCATATCTGCTTTGTGTGTGGGGGGATTTAATGCATGGGTGGGTGTGAGTACAACTGCCCCTGTGTTCGTCAATCTGTTCTGTTAGTTGCTCCTCTTCCCTTTCTCCCGGCACACCCATCAGGCAACACTGCAGTACTCGTTCGAGTACTCCAAACCTTTTTTTTTCCTATTTTCTTTTTAAGAATGCAGTAAAGTATTTTTAATGTGTGAGAGAGGAACTTGGGCCGATGTTCCTCTCTCATGGGTTGAATCCATTTCCGTTTGAAGGCATTTTCTCCCCTTTTTGAAGAGGGCATTCCGGGGGGACGAGCTGGTATCGTGGGAAGGGACGCGGTTTATTTTTATTTAGTTTGTAATGTTTTTAGGAGGGAGGATGAGGGACATTTCAATGGACAAATGGAAATTTTTACGTTGTAAGTGGTGAGAGAAGGGGAGGAGGCCATGGAGAGTTGAGTTACTGGGGATCGTATGACGTGTTGGAAAGGCAGGAGTCAGGTTTTTGTGGTATTTCATTGCAGTTCATTAGTTTGTTTTGGAGATTTGTTATATGGATGAGGAAGGAGGTTGGGCTGAATAGACCTTTTCATCCTGAGAGTCACTAGATTTTCGGACGCTTTTTTCCCCTAGGAGTTTCGGAAACTTTTACAAAATCTACATATTAGTCATAATTTTTGAGTGCCCTAATCAATATTATCGTGGATGTCAATATTTATCAGATTTTTTAATCATTTTTCCGAAGATTTTTCAATTTGATGAACGGAATAAATATTTCTCCTAGATTTCTAGAATGAAAAGGTCTATTGAATATGGATAGGTTGTTCTGGAAATATCTTGAAGGCTTAGCGGGTTTTTTTTCTTTAGCGACATCATCATTTTCATGATAAAATGACATAATACACACACTCAAATCCCTTCATTTTTTAACACATGTGATGTTTGGCATCAAGACCGTATCTATACGAATTGTAATCCTCACATTCTAATTACACGATATATACATATAGAATTCGGCTAAATTATAATGTACCATCCGATTACACATTGTGCAATCTGAATTCCACATTGTACAACTCCAACTAATAAATTTTCAATTTATTGGGCGCAATTCATCATATAAGATTGAAGTATGAGCATTTCTAGAAAACAAGTACAAATTAAAAAACCCCGACGAAAAAGTTATTTTTAAATAGTTGAAAAATAAGGAACAAATGAAACTGATGCTAGTGGGATATTCGCTACCGGAAGATTCAATTTAGAGGATTTTCAAGGGTGTGAGAGTCAAACAATAATATATACAACGGGTTTTCAAATATGAAAAAATTTATGCATGACTTGAAAATATAATTCAAGATTCGATTTAGGCGAATCTAGGGGTGGCTTGCACACGAATCTTCCGCTAGTTTCAATCTTCATGAAAAAAACGGGAAATTGAAAGTTGAAAAATTTTAGAGAAACTGAATAAATTTTTTGTAACAAGAGAAATAGCGGAGGAAAGTCCGAGGGATACCAAAATTTTGATAACTTCATGTGTTCTCGCAACTTTTCTGTTGCTGCTCGTCTTACCCGAAAATTTTAGTTTCTCAAAAATTCTTCAAATTCCGATTTTTCTCCTTCTTTTTCGACTATCTAAAACAACTTTTTCGTCGAGGATTCTTGATTCTTCATTTTTTAGTTTTTTCTTTCATGTTTCTCTTCTCACATGATTAAAATGATTATTTTACTTGTCTAGGGTGTGGATGACCTCAGTACTAACGCATTTTTCTTTTTCTATCCTGGGGATTTCTCGTTTGGCCTAGTAATTTTTGATAAACGCTTTTTCAACTAATTAGAATAATGAGCCTTCACACTAGCGATGGGGTAGAATCTTCAGAGTTTCAGCTTTCTTTCAAGACAACTATTTTTATCCGGTTTTCATGGAGTAAAGTGGATTCAAACACATGTAAATAGGCGCTCGGAATCTGTCAAACCCATGTGCCCCTCTGGGCGGTCGGCGGGGGTAAAAATACAAAATTCCTAACGCTTGGGCTCGGATTGGTAAATTTTGTTTTCCTTCAATTCTACATGCGCGCATTATACCTTGTAGAATTTCATACAAGAAACTGTACATTTACAAGTTTAAATTAAACAATGTAAAATTTAGACTGCACAATGTGTAATTGGATTGGCACATTTCAATCTAGGGGAAATCAATACGTATATCATGTAATTAAAATGTGAGGATTACAATTTCTGTAGACAAGGTCTTAATGCGAAGCACCAAATGTGATAAAAAATTAAGGATTATTATGTGCAATAGGTCATTTTTTTGAGAAAATGCAATGTCGGGGTTAACGTATATGATGTTTAGAGGGTGAATAGTCTGAGAGGATTTTTTGGAGTTGACTCTCGTGTTTAGCTAAATTAACCCGTCAATAGGCGTGCTATGAGCATTTCCCTCACGCAACGTTAGTCAACCTATGGGACGTCTCTGTAGTGCGAGTGAGATACTAAAAAGAGCGCGCCTACTGACGGCTTAACAGGGATTATTCCAGCAAAATCGTTGGAATGAGTAGATCTACAGGAGCACGCTAAAAGGCCTCTGGTCTGACAGATTCAAATTTTCACCGAATAGGTCTTCCAAGTATTCTCGAATCAATTAGCCAGTTTCCTGGTAGCTGAATTTCGTAGTTATAGGGCAATTTGACGTCGTCATTTGTTTATATCATATACTAACAGACAGCTTGGTAAATATTTTGGTGACAGTATTTTAGTTCTGAATATATTATGCCTCTCCAATCCTTATAGTCTCCTTCCGCACACTATATCCCTATATGCATGCATGAGGCTGAAGCTGGCGGGAGCAGTTCAGCGGGAGATGGGTATAGTTTGTGAGGAGGACTGTACGGCCCCCACCGTAGCCGCTCGCTCAACGCTACATCGGTAGCCACGAGTTTAAACCTCCTCCCAGACAAATTAAATGATAAAAAACAATCAAACAATTTTTTTTTATTATTATTATTTCTTAATGTATGACGAGGGTGGGGAATGATTTCTCGAGGAGGAATTTCATGATATTTTTTTTATTTTTATAAGTTTTTACGCGGTCAATAGGGGTGCAATAAACGCATACACCAATCGATGTCATTTTATTTTTAATGTGTCCCTAAGGGGTTAGGGGACCCTGTCCAACAAAAATTATCGCGGTGCACCTATTAGGGTATTTTTAATTAATTTTTTAAGATTCATTTCTCCCAACTTCCGGTGAACAAAATGGTGATGCACGGACACGCATGCACCAACCAACCCCATTTCATTTGGAATATGTAGCTAGGGGGTTGGGGGACCCTCCCGAACAAAAATTATCGCGGTGCGC